GCAGGTGCTGGCTCTGGCACTCCTTTTCCCCAGCATCTAATGCTGATATTTCAGTAGCAGAGTTCAGGTCAATACTTCAGATAAATAAGTAATAGCTCTAACTCCATAGCCCTCTTCACTCTTCCTCCCCGTGGTGCCCTTGAGGATAGAGCCAGACCAGAACTTATGGCACTGCTCCAACGTAGTTGGCAGGCCATGAGAAAAAGCACACATCTTAGAAAACATTAATAAAGTAATTCCAGGACATGAATGCCAGTGACTACCCAGGTCACAGCCTAACAGCAGGGACTGCAGTTCTAGGTGGCTTTTTTTAATGTGGGCCTACAACAGGAATAGTAAACACAGCGGCCTAACACAAATTATTTTCAATGAAAAACCCAAACTTCATCATTAATGTGTATGTACACATGAAGAACTCAAAGAAAAAAAAATTATTTAGATGATCATTTAATGCTTGCCTGAAACGTATCATAAACTCTGTTCTATTTGGGCCAGTCCAACTTAACTCTGCTTTGTATAAGAGAATGAAATGCTTCCCTTTTTTTCATTAAATAATATGAATCCCTAATTTTCCCACATTCATTCATGTTAAAATGTATCCTGTACTGTAAGCCCTTACAGAAGTTTTAGCAGGTTTACAAGAGAGTCTCACCATGCCGAGGTGATTCACTGCAGCCTGGCAGCTCTCGGCCAAGTGCATGAAAAAGGGAAGGGCTGATGATGTTGGAGGTCTGTACAAGCTCCCAGGGGCTCAGTTATCTGGTTGAGAATAACTCAGGATAAATTCAGCACTGAGGATGCCTCTTTGGCTCCCTGCAGTGGGGCAGCAGCTCAGGGCAGACCTTAGCACAGGAGGCACAAAAATGCAGCCGTGTTTGTGCCCCTGCCTGTGCTCAGGTGGGAAACTCTGGGAGCCATGGGAAGCAAGGCCTGAGGTGACCTTGGTCATGAAACTTGACTTTTCTGCAGAGTCTAGAGAAAAAAAGGAGCACAAAAAACTCCATTTCCACTCCATGCCAGACCCACACTGTGCCCCCCAACTTCACAGAGTCCTGCCCATGTCTCCCTGCCCAGCAGCCCTGCCAGGGAGGGCTTTGTCTTTTCACGGAGCTTTGCTCACGTTGCTCACCCAGCCTGCCCCAGGCACTGCCTCGCTCCCCCACCTCACCACCATTAACTTTGCCTTCAACCTCTGCTGCATCATTGCCTTCTCCTGAGGGTTCCCTATTTATATAGAGGGAAAAATGCTGTTGCTGGGACTGGAAATATTTTGTTACCTTTTTCTGCTTAAGTGCGAGGCATTTTTATCTGTGATCTCTGGAGACTTATGCTACAGTGGGACTGATTTTATCCACTTACTCAATGCACTTTAGTTCAATAATGATTACAGAACTTCTACATAATATATTAGGTATAGCTGATTTCCCAGGGTTTGTAGCCCTCCATCTCCCCAAGCATTTAAAAAGGAATCTCTCTGTGATAGGGATGTTATGAATGATACACTCCTCGACAATCATGATGTAAAAGTAAGAGCAGCAGTGGGCCAGGAAGGCAGAGGCAGGCACTGGGCTGGAAAATGCCAAAGCCTGTGGATAATACAAGCTGAGAGCAATGACTTGCTTTGTTCGTTTTATCACTGCTCCTTGGTGCATCAGCAGCACTTGCAATCTAGTTCAGGCAACCCAAAACTCTCTCTCCATTGCCTCAACACAGTCTGAGACTTTTGGCAATTCACTGGTTCCGCTGCAGGGCAGGGCTGGCCTGGTCGCTCCTTCTCACTCACCCTCTTTTTGTTTTTAACTACAATTGAGCTTTTCAGCTTGCCCAGCTGTGGGTTTAGCAGCCATGAGTGGCCCTGTCTCTGCCAGCACTGCCAGCCCACAGCCCCCTGCACACCTGAGGTTACACCATGTGCCCAGACCTGGTTCTCAGCTTTCTTCAGCCTGAGAGGCTTTCTAGGCATATTTCCCTGCACAGATATTGGAATACTTCTCCATTCTCTGCTATCCCAGATGTTAATAATTCTCTGCCTGTGTGTTCTCCACCTGCCCTCCCTGGCCTGGCTGCTCAGCCTCTGATGGCAGAGGGCATCCAGCTCCTCTCCATAAAGCCCAATCCCGGCTCATTCAAAGCCCATTCATTTTTTACACTGGATCAACCACCTTGAGCCACCTTGCTCACATTATTGTCATCATTCTCCCCAGTCGGTGGTGATGGTGTTCTTTTTTTTTTTTTTAAACAAAAGAACATCACCCTGTTTTAATAAATTTTCTGCTAATACCTTCATTTCAGTAACACTTTTGGGCAGCGAGTTCCACAGGTTCATTGCTGGAGTTTCTCCTTGTGCAGTGGGGCTGCAGCAGACCCTGGGGGATGGGGACAGGGGTGGCTGGCAATGCTCCTGCCCCTGGCCCAGAGGGGCAGCTCAGGGCAGCTCCCATCACCGCCTCAGCCCCTGACTGATGGCAGGAAACAGCAACAGGAAAGTTGCTACCAGCTAACAGCTGTTTCAACAGTTTTAATCACAGGGCGAGCTGCGAGATAAATAAATAAATAAAGCCCATGAAGTGACAAAACAAATGGCCTGGTATTGGAGACAGATTTGAAGCTTCTGGCTGCCTTCGCAGGAGAGCAGCCTGTGAGCTCTCACCCTCCCTCCCCCAAATAATTAATTTATCACTTAGCAGCACTGTGGCTCTGCAGAAGGTGCTTGGAGATGGCGTTTGAAGGTGAACTCCAGCCCTCTGGAGGGGCCCCTGGGGCTGGGCAAAGAGGCAGCTGAGTTCTGGAGCCTACAGGTGATGGCAGGGGGATTTATATCAACCTGCTCAAGCTACCATGAGCCAGCACGAGCTATTTTGTTCTGCCATCACAAATCACTGTTATGCCCTTTCTGCCTTAAACACTATGGATCAGCTATAACAACACTTGATATTTATTTTATTTCAACTATCACTCTGATTTGTCAGGTGTATTTTTTATGCACAGCAGGTGTACCCTAATGGGGTTAGGGAATAAACAGCAAATTGATGGGCTTACACACCCATTAGCTAATGGGTTACTAAGCAAAAGGGACTCTGTTTAACCCCACTGCACTTAGCCCACTGCTAGGAGGAATGTTAAAGACTATAAGCTAACACTCAAATGTCTCTCTGTGGACCCAGGGGAAGAGAGCTCAAACTTTAATGCATCGCTTTTGATAGGCAGGTGAATGAATGTGGCTATCATTATGCAATCACACAGCTGTGGAACTATTTATCAGCCACACATCATGCCCCGTGAACCCTGCGTGCTCCTGTCCCACTGCACTGCCAGCCTGTCCCTGTGGTGCACAGAGAGGGTTAAGCAGGATGAACCCCCCCCAGACAGGTGCTTCCCACATCCCACTTGCACAGCACACACAGAAAACACAGAACTGGCACTGGGACCCCAGCACTACACACCTTGTTCTGAGCTTTTTTTGTTCAAAGGCCTTGTGTCAACACCAGCTTTAATCAGTTATTTCAAGATAGATGTGCCTCGTTAGCATCAGAACAATGCAATTACTTCCCCTCCTCCCCTCTCTCCAAATCCCGGGGTTTTATTGGCCTATTAATGGTTTGATTTGTTGTTGGTAGAAACAAGAAGGATTCCAACTCATTGATCATATTATCCTACAGATATCCAGCAGAATAAATAAATGGGATAATAAAACTCAAACCACCCGCTCAAAGGTTACATTTTCTCAATCCTTTAGTGTTCTGCATCATAGTTTATGTTCCCTTTCAACCACAAATACACCGTTCAGTGCAGTACATGGCAGTCAAAAAAGGCCTGCAATGTTAAAGGTTATATTTGCAATCTTTTACCATCTTTCTCACGTGGAAGCAAGTCACGCTGATCCCGCTATCCACAAATGCAATAAGGAACAACCCTCTGACACAGGTGGTATAATCAAAAGCCAATTCAAAAGGAGCCTTCTGTAAATATCAACTGGATCCAGGCATATGCATGCTTGGCTTGAAGCACCAGGAGAGTCCTGCTGACTTCAATGGGGCGGCTCCTGCGTTTGAAGAGAAATAGGTGCGTGCATGCCAGAGAGGTGAAGGTCGAGGAATAAAAAGCCAGGAGAGAATGTAGTTTTGTGCTGCTTTTCTCTGAGCAGTGACACAAAACCTCACAGCCAGGGGGAAGCTCAGGTCCTTTCACACTCCTTTGTGGCTGCCTTTTCCTGGGGTGCTTTCAGGTGTCCCTTGCATTTAGCTCTGGAGCCTGCTGGGGTTGTGGGGCTGCCCAGACAGTGCCTGGGGGATGTGGGGTGCCTGTGGCAGCAGAGGGGATGTGGCCCTGGTGATGCCACTGGGCTCTCTGGGCTTTGCCTTGTTGCCAGTTCCTTCCTGGAGAAGGAAAGTGCTTCAGGCACCTGGAAGAGCAACAGCTGGACTCTTCAACTCGGTTAAAAATGCTGCTGTGGGAACTGCCACAGGTACAGAAGCAAGGACAGGAGACACTGGGATTCCAGTGTGATCAAAATGACAACTCAGCTCCCTCCTTATTCTAGGGAGTAGTGGTCAAGCAGAAATCTGCTGATGCCCACTGGAAGCTGAACTGCTCTGTTGCCAACCCCAGATGAGGCTCCACAAGTGTGGAGTCGTTCAGGTGAGGCATGGATACAACATTAGGTTGTAGACTCTGTGTTGGAGACAATTTAATTTATGTTGGAACTCATCAGCATCAGTCTAAAAGGCTGCAGCAGCATAGCAACAAGCTTGTTAATTACTAAGCAATTATTTTACTCAACTTTTAGACCAAGGGGATATCCAAAATATCCGCATCTGTTTCATTTTGAGTTCTTATTGTTCCTTCCATGCTGTAGCTGAGGTTATTTTGCAGCAGCTGTCAGTCAGAGCAGTAACAACTTCCACAGCAGCAGCAGCAGCTTCCATTTGGCAAGCTCAGTGCACAGAAAGGGCTGTGATGGAGTGGAAAGGGTTTCTTTCTTAATATCCTCTTCCCCTAGGATAGACTATTTTGCCCTCTCCAGCAGAACATGCTTGGATCACACTGCAGAGTTTCTGACTGCTGCTTTTAAACAGGTATATCTGTTTGTTTCTCTCAACACATTTCAGCTCCTCTGGCATGCTGTCTCTGCAGCTCTAATAGAGACACTCCACATGTAATAGGGTCACACGGTGATCCTCACGTTCACTTCCATTCTATCACCATGTTAAATTGAAACAATGTGTGTGCATCAGATTTCTGCAGTGCAGGGAAGCTGCAGCAGCCACAAGTTTTGTGGTGTGATGAAACTAATGATTTGGATTTTATTTTCCTGGTACCACATTCAGCTGGTAAACTCTTGAAAAATGCACCTTACCTCATTTTCTCTCTGCCTTTTTACCTCTCAAGAGCTTTCACCAACAGATCTACTTTCATGCTGGAAAAAAAAAAAAAAGTAATTCTATCAGTAATTTATGGAAATTAGAAAACTGATTAGCATAAAGCTTCTACTTGTGATAGTGGGGTTACAAAAGTGGGTTGATAGGTAAAAATGATCTCCTTAGTGATAATTAACTTTGATCTCTTAAATAACTGTTAACTTTCATAAAGAAGGAGAGTACAAATGACATTTGCATCATGGCAACTGTAAAAAGGCAGAACATAACTTTCATTGGAGATTACATGATAAGCTCTGTTCTCACAGAAAATATACTCATTTCAAAGCAAAATGACATGAATTGTCAAGGACTGTTGGGTTTGTTCTTATATCCTGTGCTACCCTGAGTGCACTGAGATGAGACATTGCATATGCTTGTGTGAACAGCTCTGTACAGCCATGTAAATGATATGTATTTATCTACAAGGAAATGACAATGCACGCTCTGCTTAGCACTTCTATGGGACCATTCATCCAAGGACTCCCAAGTCCTTTATAAACATTAATTCATTCTGACTACTATGTGGCTGTGAGGAAAGTAAATATTAGTCTTATTGCAGTATTATTGGGAAATGGAGAGACACAGCAGCTGAGAGACTCACTCAAGGTCAGTAGAGTATAACTGCAGTGCTGAGCCTCTGGGTGTGTGTGCAGGGGTGGCCTCCAGGCACAGCACTGGGCAGCAGAGCTTCACTCCCTGAGCTCTGCTCCAGGGATGTTTTGAAAATTCTCCCACCAAAATTTGTTTCTGAACAATTTCAGTGCCTATTTGGGGCAGGACAGTCTTGCCACCTTTGTTTTAAAAGTGAGAAACTGAGGCAAAGTAAGGAAAAAAAAAAATCAGAATTGCTGACTAGACATAAACATCCAGTCTGAGAAATCAAGGGCCCATCAGTTTTAACCAGCAGACTCCCCCAGTCTGCAGTTCCAAGCTTAAGCCAAAAGACAAGCAGTTTTATTGAGTTTTATGGACTTTATTAGAAACCAACACTTCAAAACTGAGGCATAAAATCCCATTTGAATTTAACATGCAAGCAAAGGAGAATTTTTGAAGCCCAGTGTACCAGACAGTAGCTGTGAGTACCAATGAGTCCTCTCAAAATGAATCTCATCAAGACTTAAACATTGCTGGGGTTAAGATAAATTAAGTGTAAACCAGAAGTTACATATGAAATAAAGGGTATATCAAGAAATGCAAAATTAGAATAACATCTTGAGATATAATTCCTTAGACCTGTGCAGCCTCTGAATTTTTCTATTCATGGAAATCATCTTAGAACGTTTTTTGCACACTTAAAGCTCCTGGCACACTGACTTGTTGCAAAGAAACCACTGAAACATCTCAATATTTTTCTTCACTGGCTCCTCCAGACACCGAGTATGCCGGCCACTCTCTGAATCATTTTATCCTGTCATCTCTCTACCTTTGATATGCATGAAGTTAAAGGGAAATGGCAGTTTCCTAACTTCTATTTCCACCCAATGTCATGGGAGAAAGGAAGGAAAAAAAATCACTTTTTTTTAATGCAGCTTTTAAAATAGAAAAGAAAAAAAAAAATTTACAGCACTTAATAGGCCTCCCTTGCAATTTAAAAACTGATTTTCAAAAGCTCATATATTCAAATCTCCAAAGTCTATTTGAAGGCACATCTGAAGGTGCACCCTGCAACCTGTGTGTAGCAAACTCTTTTGAATCTTGTCCTTGAAACAAAAATTAGTGCCCCATGGGAGCTCAACAGTGTAGACAACCACTAACTGCAGAATGACTGAAAGCAGAGCTGAGAGTCCTTGCAGCTGGGAGGGAGAAGGGGATGAGAGAGCGAGGGAAGATGAGAAACCCTTCAGGAGCCATTTGGGAGACACTCACTGGGAAGAAGAAAGAAAGACATGCACTAAAAACAACAGAAACACAGGTGGAAATGGCCTACTGGGAAATCAGGCTGTCAACAAACAAAAGCCGAAGGCCAGAAAGCAGTTTCAGTAGCAGCCCCTGCTAACAGGGCTTCAGTGTTCAGTAAATAAATTAGCAGCAGGTTTGACTGTTTGGAAATTAGTAGTGACATGATGAAAGCAGCAAATGACTTGCTTTTATCTGGAGTGGGAGCACTAAACTTCCAAAGAAATCCTTGCCTGTATCAGGAGAAGCAGAGATGCTTATATCAGCTTAGACTTGAAGAACAATTACATCAGAAAAGTTTCATTTCATTTACCAAAGGCTCAGAACTTCATTTGTTACTGAGGAAACCTATGTCCCTTTTGGCTGCTTCTGACAGCATCTCTCCTTTGAATAGTTTATAATTTTGGAGGTAAAAATAATATAGGTTGGGTAGACAGACAGAGACCTGAATGTCTTAAAAAAAAAAAAAAAAAAAAAAAAAAGATGTAGAGTTGGGACATTAGATCAACTCTTCAATTATTGCAAACTGGGAAAACTCCTTCGGGAGAAACTCCTGTGATTTACTTCTGTGAGAATCTGATTCTGTTTAATTAAATGGGAACTAAATGAGGGGCTGAATAGTAAACACTTCAGCACGTGCTTAAACATTCAGCAAGTGCCAAAGTCCTATTGATTCCATTGAGATACAATTTGCTTAAGCACTCCTCCCCTGTAAGGGCTCTGACTGTACCAGGCCTCAGTTACTGGAGCTGAATGTTTATCATGTCAGAGGAGTTAAGAAGGGGCTCTTTGCCCACATCCTCATCGCTTAGGAAGACAATTGGATAAGGAGTATTTGCTCCAAAGTGAGCAAATATTTACGTAAGCTGTTCTGAGTGTGCTCGATAAGGCGACAGGTCCAGGGGGGAGTTGGCACTGGCAGAGCACAGCAGGGATGTCCTGGGTAGTTCTTGGATCTGGTGGGTCCATTCTACTGCCCCAGTGTGTGTGGGTCCACTAAAACTTGAAATGGGGACTCAGTCCTCATCACAGACTCTGCCTTTGAGAAAGGGAAACAGACACTGCTGTATCTGCTGCCCACCAGTGTGGGAGCTGCAACTGGTGTGTGGTAATGCCATGAAATGCCCAAAAAGAATCACAGGACATGAAAATGGTCATGTTGCCCAGAGAGCTTATGTAGCCACACCTCTCAGGTACTCAAGACTTTACTGAACACAACCCTGACCAATCTGATCTAACAGAACCTGTTCTGAGCCAGAGCTTGGACCAGGTGACCTTCCATCCTAAATTATTCCATGATTCTATAGAAACAAAACCTGACAGAAATGGCCAAGATTATGTGGAAGCATGTAATAGCTGGTACAGGCCTGTGAAAGGAAGATCAGGCCCAATTATACTGAGAAATTAATTAATTAAGGCAGACATAACATAGTTGGATTTTTAGTAAATTGTTAGTTTTGTTCTACCCATGAGCTCAATAGGAAAGCTGGAGTTGCATAGCCTGCATAATAACACAATAAGGCAGACAAAAATCTATCCAACAGCTAGGAGCCAATGACTTATCATCAATGGCTTTGTGTCAAAAGAGAGGGAAGTATCAATTGGTCTCCCATGGGGATTGATACCAGAGCCAGTATTAATCAATATACTCATTAACAGACCAGAGAAGAATGTAAATTCAACAGCCACTGGGTCTGGAGAAGAGTCAAAGGAATTGTGGGGATGTGGCAAAGGAGATAATGGCATATAAGAAACAGGCTTGTATTCAAACCATGTGTAGATTTCATCAGATGAACGAGCAACATCTAGTATTTGTTTATTCAGGGAAGAATTTTACAGCATATCAATATAAAATTCAGTGGGGATAGTGCCTAAACCCATCTTTCTCAAGGGCCCAGGTTAATCAACTACTTACTTCTCACACCATTGCAAAAGGATGAGCAAAGGTATGAGTTTGGATCCATTAAAAGTCCTGCAAGATCGTGTGTTAAATTACCATTTAACAATTTGCTTGGCGTCAGGGGTGAAATACTGTAGCCAAATATCACAAGATATTTTGATTAAAAAAGATTAGGAGGGTCACTAAAATTCTGTGAAGACTGTGTTCAATCCTAACCTATGTGCTTCACACTGATTAAAGAGATTTAAGTATGTGGCAGGTGCAAATTGCACCAATGATGACAATGAGACAAGATTTGACTTCTTCTGGTCTTGTATGGAAGGTGATACATGTAAATCTTCTTCTCCGTCATATTCTCAAACCCTCCTCATTTTCTGCATCTTCTCAACACGTAGTCCTGGGTTTGGATGTGTGCATCCCTCTCTATATGCATTTATATCTAAATTTGCTCTAAGATCATGTTGGTGAAGGTGTGACTGAGCTGACCCAGTTGATAGCTGTTAAGCCCAAACGAATTGCCACATTCATCTAAAGTGTCTCATGTATCACACAGGTCAGAGCATTTCCCTACATGGGTATCTCAATTTTTGGTTATTAGAAAATATAGCAAGAATTTATTCCATATATCAAGCCCTCATTTGTTGGAGAATGCATGGCCTCCCTTGCCCAAATGTTGATAGTGGGTTTATACATTCTCAATCTGAATTGGCTGCTGTAGCTAGCTTGTATCAGAATTTTTTCCCCTCACACAGCTACCCAGTGTTACCATTTAACTCCATAATGCATAATAACTATCATTTTTATAAAATATGCTTATAAACCAGGAACTTCTATTACTCTCATTTAAACCCATGAAAACTCCCATGGACGTTAGTGCAAGCAGGACCTGATATTTATTCATCGAAAGCTGGAAGCGTGTGATGGAAAATAAGAAATCTTTTAAGCCACAGTTCTTAAGGGTATGTTGTGTGGTGTTTACTGTTCAACACATCAGAGCCTCATGGCCATATTAGTTGTATGAATGGGATAAGATTACTTGGGCAATTTTCCTCTACATTAGAAACAAATCACAGCTAAACCTCTGCTGGCTCCATACATTTTAAATTCCCATTTTCCCTCACTAGAACAGAAAAATAAATACATAGATAGCTGGCCAAACTTAGGAAGTGTTCAAAGCAATCAAGTGCAAATTCCCTCCTGTTA